TCCTAAAACAAGAAGTCCTCAGAAATTTCTCTCAGACATCTCCTTCTTCCAGCAGTGTCTATAAGAAGCTCCCTGGCAAATCATTCATTATTCCTTGGCTACTGTTTCATATGCTGAATGTGAAGAAATGGGACGAGGGAATTGTTCACATACATATAAAGTTATCGTGATTTAGTAAGACAGTAACTAGGGATCTAAGCTGTTTATGGACCTTGTCATCAGAGTTCTTGCTATTTTGAAGCATTTTTAGCACATTCCAGTATAATCAAAAACAAAAGTAAGAGTATTTAATAATTACTAAGGGAGGTTGTTCTACAACACGCTAAAAAATCATCTTTTTGTCTTTTTAGACAGTAGCTGGCAGTATAGTACTTGGAATTATTTCAGAGTAAGTTTCTTTTAAGTATTTTTATTTCATTGTCTTCCATTCTCCTTGAGCACTTTGCAATAATAAACTGTATCTTATGTCTTAGTTTCCATGATGGGACTTTCATTGCAGTTGGAGGAGTAACTGCATTTTTAACCCTGCTACTGATTGTACTTGCTGCGATGTCAAAAGTAAGTACCATTAATGGACTATTGAATAACAAATAATCTGTATTTTCATGATTCGAATGACGTTTTTAAATCTGTTTATCCTTCTGAGTCACTCAATGTCTCGCCATCATGTCTGCCAGTTTTGTTTGCATCATCAAGACTAAGAACACTCATAGTTTTTTAAAAAGAAAAGAAAACGTAAAAGCTGAGAGCAGTCAGACCTAAGAACTGTGGTGCTAGTGAAGAGATCCTGCTCTCCTGCACGTGTCTGTAGCAGCTCCATTTTCCTCTGCACAGATGTGCTATACTAAGGGTGACGGAATCCAGATGTGTGTAGGTGGAGGGTTGCCTGCTGGGACTCGTGAACGCATTAGCTTTTAGCTATTCTTCCCTTAGAGCATCACTCAGAAATGTTGAAGAGTATCAAAAGGACAGCAGTGGCAGCAGCTGAGAGTCAGTTGAGGAAGCCAACACAGACAGACCCTTGATAGAGTTGGAAATCAAGTGAACGTGTTTTAGGGAATCATTCAGTTTATTAGCAGACCAGAAGAGGGAGCAGAAGATTGAACTGGCTATAGTAATCTCAGGATTTACCGTTCCTCTATATCATTATTGTTACTTTCTTAATCAGTAACCCTAGTAACATGTAGGTTTTGGTTTTCTTTTTTTTTGAATTCAAAGATGTTTTGGCCATTGGCAACTAAAGACGCTCTTATTGTGCTTGCTGTCCTCAGACAACCTGGACAAGCATGAGCCTGTCAGTCGGATCAAGCAACCTGCTGGTTATGGGAGCGCTTTTTCATGCCCTATTAAGTTCCTCTGTAAGTAGTTCACTTGATGTGCACTTATAAGATGCACTGCTGGGCGCTAGCTTATAATCACTGTAGCAGTTTTGGGTAGTATCAGTAGCTTCTTCTTATACTGTAGTAAATGATACAAAAATTTTTAAATGCAGAAGTTCTTTATTAAGGGTCTTTTCTGTATTAAGGAAAGTGGCAAAAAATGTTTAGATGGAACGTTTTGTGTTTAATCAGTCTGATTATACTTAATCACTTTTCAAAGTGATTGTTTCCTATTTCATGCCTAGTACATATAGCCATATGTTTAAATAGGTTTCTGAAGTTCCTGTGGGTTGTCCCACTGGAAAACTGTTGAGTTTTACACCTTTCCAATCTGAGTAATTACCTACCATGGTTAGACCCAGAACCCAGGTGGACTAACATTTGTTTTAGACTCCTAACTACCAGAGTATTTTACTGCATTGTTTGGTAGTCTTATCTTTATTGCATCTTTTCTTAACCCGACCAGATTATGCACTTCTTAGATTTACTGCTGCTATTGATTTATATACAGTGAGGGATGCCATTTTTATGGATTCTAGCCTGTATTTCATAGTGGCTATGATCATAAATTGTTTTTTCTTACAGGTGTTTACAGCTGTATATGCTGCATTTGGAACTCTGTTCTTTGCTACTGTAAGTAGAACATTTCTACGGCACACACTTTTGTTTCTTTCCTAAGAGCAAAACATTGCTCCAATGGTACTCTGGCTACCACTTTTTTCAACTTTTAAACTTTATGTCTAATGTGAGGTTCCTCGACCCCACATTCAGACATCCAGCTCAGCATGACCTGTTGTTTGACATGGGAAGATGCTGAAATCTTTGCATCTGCAAAATCGGCCACTTAGACCTGTTCTGTAGAAGGGCAAACCTCTCCTCCCTGGAATTTTTCAATACAGAATTTGGTGAAGCAAATAACAAGGTGTTCTTCTTAATCTGCCAAAGCAGGTAGATATCTTGCTTTACTACTAAATTTTTAGTTATTTGCTACTAAAATTATTAGCTATTTCTGACCATTAACAGTTGTTTCCAAACTGTGTGTATCCCACTGCTGATAGTAAGATGCCATGAAAATTAGAAAATTAGATACAAGGGCTGCTCCTTTGGTGGCAGTGAGAGGGGAAGGTGTGTGTCTAACCCTGTGAGAACTGTGAAGGGCCACAGAGACTGCAGGTATGAAGCACCCTGTGGTCTCCAAAGAAGGCAATGGAGCAGCACGGGCAGCCTTCCAGCTGGGTAGACGTCTTAGAAGGTTGCAAGTTCTTCATCATCATCCTATTCATGTCACTCATAGGCAAGGAGCTGCATCAGAAAATAACAGATTGCGAGTAGGGACCATTAATGAAACAACTGAGGGAAGAAAGAAAAATAGCACTTGAAAAATAGCACAAATGGAGAAATCTGAACCTCCTTACAGAGGCCCATCTGTCACTGCTTCCGTCATGCTCAGGTCTCCTCGCAGAGTTACCATCTCCTCCAGTAGCATCATTTTGTTTTCTCCTCTTAACAGTCTCTCTCTGTCACTACCATTTGTTGGTTGTGATCAACTGTCTAAAAGTAATTTTGCAGTCGAGAACTCCACAACTAACTATTGCCCCTGCTGCAGCACCATTAGACTTTGGCCTTGTCATTAATAGGGAATTTCAGTCATTCTGTGAAACAGAAACTTCCAGCTGCAAATCATACCTAGAGATTCCTTTAAATTGTCCCTTTTATTGAACATTTATCCCTAAGTAAGGGTAAATAGCAAGGACTTAAAATTTGGTATAAATTGTAGAAACCCAAAAGGCAAAAATGAACATTCTTTCTGCTTTTTTCACTTTTTTCTCTCCTCTCCCTACAAGGATCTGACGCAGACAGTAGCTGAGCTTAAAAGACAGCCCACCAAAGATCCTTCCTCCGCGATCACTAGGACAGCGTGGACACTTTACATAGACATCGCTATGTTGTTCTTCTTTACCTTGCTGTTGGTGGGTAACACACCTTTCCACTCTCTTCTTTAGCTCATCTCCTAAAGGAGGGTATGTGTCAGCGCAGACTAACCACAGTCTGGCAGGGAGATTTCAGAATGCCTTTTTGTGTACTAATCTTCTCATAGACAAAGTCGTATCTCGGGAAATTGCTGAAACAGGTGTTAAAAGGACAGTAGGGGGAAGTTGAGTGCAGCGTAACATACTGTGCTAATCTATAAAATGATGCTGATGAGATGGTTTCACCCTCACGAATGAATGAACAAATGAATGATGGCCCATTTCAAATCTGCAAGTCAAGATGAGGAATAGTGAGAGGAGCCCACGTGAGCAGCTTGCAGCCTGCACAGAGAAGACACAAAGCTTCTGAGGGGGGACGCTCTGGTCACTGTCACGCAGAGCTCTCCGTGCTGTTGACCGTTAACACCGGGGCAACTTTTACAGCCTTTCACACCAAGCTGATGCTAAGGCTGATCTGTGGGTTTTGGACGCTACGGTCACATAAGTCAAAAATAGCTATAATAGGAACTACACAGTTTCTAAACAATTAAATACCTTTATATAAACTCTGGTATTTTTCCAGTTTAGCTATTTAAATATTTCATTCATATACTGAGAGTAGCCAAGTATAAGATTAGCCTTTCTCCTTCCTTAAAAACTGCTTGATGATTTTGCTTTTTACCCTCATTAACTGCAAAGACTGAAATTAAAATAATTGAACTCAAATTTAAGAGACCAAGCTAATGCAACTAGTAACAACATTGGACTCAAATCAGCCAGCACTGGCCTGCTCTGGAAATAAGATAAAATTCTGCTAGGCGGAGGGCAGGATTGTGAAGTCAGAAACACAAGTTCCTTTACCTGTATGCAGCTTAGCAAGAAGTGTATCCCCACGTGGAGACCAAGTTCAGCAGAAAGCTACACGGGTCCACACTTCTTAGGTTTGGCCAAACGAGCCTCCTTTAAAAGAGGAAACGGCCTCAAGTTGCGCCAGGAGAGGATCAGGTTAGACGATAGGGAGAATTTCTACCCGGAAAGAGGGGTGAAGCACTGGGACAGGCTGCCCAGGGAAGCGCTGGAGTCCCCGTCCCTGGCAGTGCTCAAGGACCGTGCAGACCAGGCGCTCGGGGACACGGGTTAGCAGGGGCGATGTCGAAGGGCTTAGGGTTGGACTTGATGTTCTCGAGGGTCTTTCCCAACCACAGTGATTCTGTGGCAATCAGACAGACTGCAGCTGTACCGCACACACTGCCGGGAAAACGGGCTGTACTTAAACAACAACCGAAAGGAGATCCCTTCTCCCTAATGCAACAGGAAACCGCTAACGGCATCACTGATCAAGTTTAGACCCTCAAAGTGTTTATTTGAAAGCAATCCTAGGTTACTAAGTAATTTTTAAGAAACAAACAGAAATTTCACTCACAGTTAACTATGTTAAAAAAAGTGTATAAAGTGCTGGATGATTCAAAGTATGGATTGTAACTCAAGTTTCTGGAAATAAATTAGAATATAACAACACTAAAGGCAACTGTAAGTCATTCATTTGCACACTGACTTGGAGGATGGCATGAAATTTGTACCTTTTTTTCCCCAAACTGGGCAATATCAGCTGAAGAATGGAACATGGAAAAGACGCGTCAAATAAAAAGAGAACTTCCACTTTAGAGATCATATAAAACTTTAAACAAGTACCACAATCCATGAAGTAACCTGAATATCTTACATTTTTTAATTTCTTGTACGGAGTTTTCAGACCTGAGAATGTACCCATAGTAGGTCCAGAGCATTCCTTTAAAAAAAATTATAAATTATTGGTAACAGTTTCTTTAATGGAGATTGCTGGAGTAGGTCCCACATGAGTCCATATATAACCTTTCTCTGGTCTTGTAGGAACAGTAGGGAAGGGAGATGATCGAGACTTGAAATATTCTGAAGGTGCATGACAAACAAATTCTAAATATTCCATTTTCCTTGGGAGATCTTCTTCTGGTCCTAGGAAGAAACAAATATAATCCCTCATGTCAAAATTTTAAGGCTTAAAACTGAAGCAACACCCCAAATCCCTTGCAGAATATCCCATTTCAGTCAATAACATGGTCAACGAAGTAGCCTCAAATACTACGTAAGAAACCTCTATATTTCTTCTCGGTAGGATTTCCCTTTCTTTTTGAAGGCCTTCCCATCAAAAGGATTTTCCCCCAATATTACTAATTTTATAATCAGTTGCAGAGCATTTTGTATGCTAGTGCTTATGCCCTATCCATTCCAAAAGCCCAGGATAAAGTCCATCTAACTCACATCCCTTTAAAAGAAACAGCTTTTCTAGTATACCAGGTTTATACTGCAATAACTTGTATTCTAGCTGTAGAGAAATAATTTGATCCTCAAAGTTGCAAGAATCTAAGTGTGCTTGTGAGCACACGTAAGTAAATAATCCCACTCACTGCAGCAGTACCATTACACACACATATACATATGTATATATATATGTATAAATGTTTACAGGGTTAGAGTCTAAAATGTGGCAATTATAAAATGATTCTGACAAAAAAAGTTAATTTAAAAATTGCAGCTCCGCTTGCAGCAGCTGAGGCATGCAGAAGTGGCAGCAGACGATGGCTGCTGGATTACCTATGATATAGGATGCAGCATCAAAGCAATCTTTGGGGCTGGCTTGCGTTGGGATGAGCCAGGTCAGCGCGGCGCTCTTTTCGCAGTACTGGTCCTGAATAAAGCCCCGGATCTGAGCATAGTATGTTCTTCCGTCCTGCTCATCAACCACCGAGACGACGTCTCCAATTTGATAGTACACGCCCTGGAAGATGTACAAAGAAGAAATAAAACAGCCTGGGTTTAGAAGCCTCACGCTAACTCTGGTCCAGGAGCATCTTAAATTATCTCCAGGAGCATCTTAAATTTCCTCAAGCTCTCTCCTTCTGTCAGGAGAGCGGCCTGATGCTGTCTAGGCACGGCAGTAAGTTGAGGGTGCAGGAAAAGCAGCTTTCTGCTCATGACATGTCCCCCTGTGGAGACAATCGAGCCCCAAAACACAGACCCGTGTCCTGCTAGTGCCAAAGCTCAACCGTTCTACGCAGGGCTCTGTAACGCGCACGCGGCTGCGCAGGACAGCGTTGGTTCACGTTATAACAGTGTCACACAGCCTTTGCACAGCCCGGGCCAGAGTTTGACAGGAATCATCCGGCAGGGTTTTCAAGCATGAAGCAACCCACTGCTTCCTACTTGAGCAAGTGGAGGTTTTGAAAATCCTGATGGCAACAGGGTGCGAGATGCATCTTGCTCTGAGGAGGAACAAGAGGGACAGGGCCAACTCCTGCAACGCGCTCCTTGCCAGTGCAGCGCGGTGCAAACCGCAGCAGAGCGCTACACCTACTGCTAGGGAAGGAACGAGAGTTTCTGTAAGCAGTTCTCGGTTGGCAAAAGTAACTTTTGAGGCGGGAATCAGCCAGCGGCCCCGCGGGCGCCGTTACCTTGTAGAAGATGGACTCTGCTGTGATGATGGTGGACACGGACTCGGGGGCCTTGATGGGCTGCGGGAAGACGGGAGAAACGTCGCTCAACGCAGGCACCGCCACCCAAATCCCTTTGTTTTCGCCTCCAAAAAGCGCGGCAGGATCTTCCCGGAAAACCACGGAAGAGGAAACGCGCGTTGCGCCCCGGCGGCTCCGCTCCCCCCCGCCAAGCTTTGCCCCCGCCGCCGCCTCCTTACGTTTTTCAGCTTAAAAATGTGCCTCCTGCCCTTGCCCTTGGTGGAGACCTTCTTCTCCGCGGCGGGCGCCGACTTGTACTTGGTGTTGCGCAGCCGGGCCGAGCGCCGGTGGATCTCCTGCTTGCTCTGCGGGGCAGAGGCGGAGGCGGCGGTGGCGCCGGGGCCGCAGCAGCTC